CCAGAAATGTTAACTCTGATTTCTCTCCGCAGATGTTGTCAGATCTGCTGAGCTTTTCCAGCAATTTCTGTAGATATTAGTTTGTTTTAATTGGAGTTTGCATTTCTGTGTTCTTGTCCATCGAGGGAACACTGCTGGTCTCCTGCTGTGACTTTGTATATTTCTCTATAGTTTGTTTTCATTGTTGAGATAGCTAAGACTAGAAATGAACTGAGCATGTGTGTTTTATCTAACATAGTGCTCTTCCAAAAAGCAGAATCTTAAAGCAGCAAGCTAGTGTTTTTAGACTAGCAGTTTCTTTTAAAATGTAACTTAACCTTAATTATTTCTAATATTTCTTCAAATAAAACTTAAAGTATGTTATTTGTTCAATCATATTGCCAGCTGGTTGCAAATTAGGTAATAAAGGTTTAATCCATTCATGAGTAATTATAATGCAAAGAATACAAAATGACTTCAAATTGGCACAGGATTCGCACAATACTTTGCTAACTAACTACAATGAGTATAAAAATGAAATTAATCTAAAGATGATTTAATTACACAAAAAAAATTTCTTACATAAATACCTTGGAAAGGTATAACCCCAGCATTCATGCAAATCTATTTAACACATATTTGTAACAAAATATTCCTTCAAAATTCAGTGCAAATCAAGAGCTAAAATGATAAATAAATGATTCAACAGGTTTCAGAGAACAAAGTAGGCCAATGGATGAGTGCTCCAGGTCCTGGATTTGGACTACGTTCTCAGAAATGATTTCAAGTTCCCCTGTACTGTCAACTGCAGAATTTAAAGAACTCCAAAAGTTAGTGACCATAGAATACTGCAGAGTGGGACTTCCGCCTTTCATTAGGAGTATGGAATTGCCACACAATGCAACTGGCCAACAGCGCAATAAAAGAGGCCATTGAGCAGGGAGCATTTGGCAATTTTAATGAGGGGGACCAGGGTTGGCGTGTGTGTCTGAGGGAATGAGTTTTAAAGTTCTTGAGTATAAAGAAAGGTGTGTGCTATTTTTCTCGGCAGTACCCATAATGCACAAAAGATATTACCCTTTTCCACTCTGCTGTTTGAAATCTTTTTATACAATTGGGTTTCCTGCTCTCACTCGCATCAACAACATTGTGGTGTGGACATGGTAATATTAGAATTAATTGAGTTAACAAACTCAATTGACCCTTTCAATATTTATTTCCATGTTGATTGCCAAATCTGGCAGTCACACACCCATTGTATTGTGGGGGTGCATTATGTTGTGGGTAGAAAAATGAACTTGGTACCTGCCCTGTTTTACATGCAACACCACTTCATGAAATGGTCAAGCAAGTCATTAAGAGGAATGAGCAAAGAAATGTCCAACTTGACAGGAACCCCAGAATCCATGTTTGAATTAAACAAGAAAAAAACATCATTGCACTTGCCCAACTTTGGCAATTGCCTAAATTCAAAATGAATTTTAGCGTGCTTTTTAATAATAAAAAGCATGCCACTATTAAACGAGTTGCCAAAATATAAATAAAGTCAACATTTTTCACTCTGAAATCCGATCAGTTTTGAATATTGGTTTAATAATATCACTTAGTTCAGATGATTTCATAAGATAGACTTGAAGAATAATTATAATTTTAAAAACATGCGCTCAACGAAGTTACAACGAAGAGTTATTGTGTCACATAAAGTAGACTTCAAAATTAATTCCATCTATTATCACAACAACTTTTCTACAAGATGATATGAGTTGTAACATATTCAAATAGTGGCACAATGCAGATCAGAATCATGTGCCAGCTGTAACCATAGGAACTCTCACTTCCCAGGGAGTGAGCTTTCTGTGGCATTAATATTACAGAAAAAGCATATTGGTGGCACACAGCTGACACCAGGCAACAATAAAAAGCATGCTGGGTCTCAGTATCTATACGATTCTGGTCTGTCAGACAATCATGGAATCAAACACCATAATTCGCACCCACGACCCAAGCAGCATACAAATTTAAACTACTATAGTAAAAGATAGGTTTATTTCGTATTCTTAAAGTATTGTGAAGCTGGAAATTTTCACTGTAGTTAGAGTACAATACTGGAAACTGTTACTTATCATGGTTATTACATTCATACAGGAGACCTCTATCAAGTCTCCATGAGTAGTGAATTAATTATACGTTTTCCCTCATGTGGTATTTTCTTACTGATCCCACAGAATTCTATCAGGGTTTCTCGAACAAATATGCTGACATGGTTTCATGGATGCTGACCAGATCATAATATCTAAAAGGAACATAAAAGCTCTTCCCATGACACTTAAGAGTTTTGCAGACAATCAAGTACATTTGAAGTGTAAAAAGTCTGAAGTCACACAACACCCCCAGGTTATAGTCCAACAGGTTTATATGAAATGACAAGCTTTCAGAACATATCCCCTTCATCAGGTCCACTTAACCCGACTAAAGGGGCTTCGCTCTGAAAGCTTGTGATTTCAAATTAACCTGTTGGACTATAAACTGGTGCCACGTGACTTCTGACGGTGTCCACCCCAGTACAACACTTGGCACCTCCACATAATTTAAAGAGTAGTCACTGTTCTAATGCAGAAATATTCATGGCAGGCAGGAAGAAAGTCCCCTTAAACACCAATTTGATAATGATCTGGAGAATCTATAATTTTGTGATGTTAATTGAAGTCAACATTGAACAGAAAAGCTCTTGTTCTTCAAATTGGTGCTTAGGTGAATGTTCACTTTCACTTGTGAAAACAGGCGTGACCTGTCCATCTTCTCTCCCACCTGTCCGCTCCACTCATCCCACTGATCAATCCCAACCACTCCCTATCTGCACTCACCTATCACCATCCCACCTACCTTCTCCAGCCCCATCCATCCTCTATTTATTTTCCAGCTCCCTTCTGCCTCGCCATTTCTGAAGGGTCCTGATCCAAAACGTCAACTTTCCTGAGTTGTATCTGACTCTAGCATCTGCAGTTTTTGCTATCTCTGACTATGATTCATGGTTTGTCCAAAAGACAGAACCTCCAAGGCAGCTCAGGAAAACGATAGCCAAGATTTGTGTTCACGTCTCAGGAATAGGACTTAAGGCTACAACCCTCTGACTTGAAAGTAGGCATCCTAGTAATTGTATCTACAAGACATTTAATCCTAAGGTGGAAACAAATTGTCCACAATACCTCATTGGATTTCAGTTTTATTTGTATAGTTTGCAATTGGAATTGTAAGTCAGTGAACAGAAATACTGATTTCTTTTATGTCCAACTCTAGAGTGCTGAGATCAGATGTGGCACAGACTCTTATTGTCCCTTTATTTTGACCAACTAATTCAGCACAGTGTGCATTGAAATTGGGAATTTATGACTGATGAATGATGTGATTAATATTTATTTTCTTGAATGAATACACATTTCATAATTCCCAGTCCTGTATACTTTTATATAACTCCAAGTATCAGCATGACGTATTTGTCACAAGTTACACCATAAGACATAGAAGTAGGCCATTCAGTCCATTAAGTCTGTTTGGCATTAAGAAGTTCATGTTAATCCTCAACTCTATTTCCCAGCCTTTTCAACATAACTCAATTTCCTTGCAGCCTTAAAATACTTACCACAGGGCTGTAGAAGTTGCATTGTTACAGGATCCCACAGATTCACCACCCTCTGACAAAAAAAAAAGGCATGCTTTTACTTCTAAGATTCTGTCCTCTGGTCCTAGACTCTTCCAGAATGGAGAAACAACATCTTTTCATCTACCCTGTCAAATTCTCTATTCAAATATTGAAGATTCATAAAGTTGCCTCTCATTCTAAACTCCATTGTAATAGCTTCTGGATTCATAGAGGCATTACAGTACAGAACAGGCCATTTGTCCAATCAAGTTCTGGATCTCTGGAAGAAAAAATGAAGCTAGCGTCATTCCCAACCTTTTCCCAGAAGCCTACAATTTCTTTCCTTTCAGGCACTTTCAAAAGCCACAAATTAACCTACCTCTATTGCACTCTCAGGCAGTGCATTCTAGATCCGAATAACTCACACTGTAAAATAAAATTTTCCTCACATTATTTTGCTGGTGATTTTAAATCTCTATCCTTTGGTTCTCAATCCAGCCACCTATAGAGACATGGTTTTGCCTACTGACTCTGGCTAGTCTCCTGATTTCAAACATCCCTATCAAATACCATCAACCTTCTCTTCTCTAGGGAGTGCAATGGCAGTTTGTCCAAACTAACTTCTTGCATCCTTTCTAAAGCTTTATATCCTGAAGTAATAATACCAAAAACTGGCCAGAATACTTGAAACACAGAATGCTGGAAAAACTCAGTAGTTCTGCCAGCATCTGTAGCAAGAGAAACAGAGTTAATGTCTCAAGTCCAATAGGACTCTTCTTGAGAACCTGCAGGGTTTCAAATTTCAGTTTCAGATTTTCAGCATCTGAAGCATTTTGCTTTTATTCACAGTATTTGAATTTGGATCTAACCAAGGTTTCAAAAGGTTCCTTTATTTTTAAACTGTTCTGTTTCCTTATGCATTTATTTAAAAGGTCCAAGATCCCACGTACTGTATCTGCTTCCTCATCCTGGACTGCCACTTTCAATGGTTTGTACACATATATCCAGAGTTGTCTCTGTTCCTACACCTACTTTAAACATTGTATTACTTTTTACCGCCTCTTTGCTCAACCTTTTCACATACAAACAGTGAAAATCCTTTTTTAGGCAAACAAACAGGCAATTAGCAATATTGCTTCAAAAGGAGCAGATTGAACTCTAAGAAATTAATTCCCTACTAGACAATATCAATTATTCTTCAAAAGCACATCACTAATTTTTGAAACATTATATGTTGGCCTGAAGATGAGAGGTGCAGTATATAAGTAAATTTCTTTCTGTCACAGCTTTTACTGTATTTGTAGAATTATATCTGGTGTTATTTTGATAAACATTGCAAAGTAAATTTACAATATCTTGATTCTCTTTTTCCTTTACCTAGGTGTGCAAACAAAGCAACTTTGCAATAATAGGAATGTAACAGTTATGGAGGGTCAGTCAGCTACGTTACGGTGTAACACTTCTGAAGATGCAAAGATAGCATTAGTTGAATGGAAGAAATCCAGCAACAAAACAAGACTTGCCGTGTACAGTTCAAACAGTACATATTATAATGTTGAACGAATAAAAATGGAAGTCAATCATCATTGTTCCACAATCTCAATTGAAGAAACTCTCAAATCAGATGAAGACTGGTATTTTTGTATATTTCAGACCTTTCCAAATGGAAAGCAAGATTGCAAAATATATTTGGAAGTAAAAGGTAAGTCAGAATTTTAAAACATTTCCTGTTTATAAACTATTTGAACGATAAAGTCTCCCTAAAGAATTTCATTTTTAATGTGATGAGCAAATAGCTGCAATGCTAGCTATTTTGAGAATCAGTTAATAGATTTTGAGAAACCCAGCTTTCACAATTTGCTTCAATATTCAAAAAAATGGTTTGCAATCTTACACATACCATGTATGTCCTACAAAATTGTAATCACTAAGCATTAACAGACAGATACCAAGAATCTGAAATCTTGTTTCCACTGGAGCAAAAGTGCCTCTGTAGGCACACGTGGTTTAACTGTGAAAATAGCTGCATTGTGAAAAAGAGGGTCAATTTGTTGTGTGTTGGTGATAAGGTCTTCCAAATCAAGAACAATCGTAATTAGCCATGTTTGACATACAAAAATTGCATTTAATTCAGGTCATTGTTGCAATCTGAAAGTCTTCATATCAAACTAAAGCCTGAGCCCATGGTGTCTCAGATAGAAAAGGATGCAATTATACTGCATTTCACTGGGAGTTGGAACGGGGCATCCACAGACATTCCTGAGAAAAAGAGGACATTGCATAGGAAGTCAGACCATACATGCCATCACAGAACAACTGTTACAACTCAACTTAAACAACTTGTATTTATATAGCACCTCCAAAATAAGAAAAGTTGCAAAGCCTTACACAGGGATAAAAGAACAAAATATGAAACAATCCACTATTAAGGATGTTAGAATTAATGATTAGAAGCTTGGTCAGAAAGGTAGATTTTACGGAAGGTCTTAAAAAGGACAATAATGAGTTGGAGGGGATGACAATTTTAGGGAGGAAATTCAAGAACTTTAGGGTCAAGGCAGTGAAAGTGCAGGGAACAAAGGCAGAGGATTATAATTAAGGATATTTAAGAACCAGTATTAGATGAATGTAGACATGTCAGTGTTATTGGGCTGAAGATTAGAAATAGGCACGGGGGGAGACCATGGACAGATTAGCAAACAAATGAGAATTTTTTAAGGGATGGTAGGAAGTGCAGATGCTGGAGAATCTGAGATAACAAGGTGTAGAGCTGGATGAACACAGCAGGCCAAGCAGCATCAGAGGAGCAGGAAGGCTGACGTTTTGGGCCT